ACACACACACACACACACACACAAATAAAAATTTAAAAAAAAGATGAATTTGATCCCGGGCACCCCCTGCAGCACCAGCCTGGTCCTGGGGCACACTGGGCCACAGAGTCCAGATGTGGTGGCACACGCCTGTAACCCCAGGACTGGAATTGGCTGAGACAGGAGGATCACCTCCAGTCCAAGCTGTACAGTGAGACTCTACCAAATACATGCTAAAAAATTAAAAAATAATAGATAAAATAAAACAAATTATAAACAAGGCATGGTGGTAATACCTGTAACCTCAGCATGTGAGAGGCTCAGGCAGGAAGTTTACAAATTCCAAGCCAATAGGTTTTACAACAGGCCCCACTATAAAATACTATACTCAGGCTGGGGAGATAGCTTAGTAGGATAAGCACTTGCCTGGCAAGTCCAAGGGCCTGAGTTCAATCCCAGGTTCCACCAAAAACAAAACAAAAAAAACAAAACAAAACAAACCTCTGGGTATGGTGAAACATGCCTGTAATCAGAACACTCGTGAGGCTGAGACAGGAAGATCACTGTGAGTCTGAGGTCAACCTGAACTACAAAGAACCAGTCTCAAAAAAACAGAAACAAAAACAAAACTCTAAAAAAATAAAGTAAAATGGGCCAGGAAGATGGTTCAGTAGAGTAAGCGCTTGCTTGGCAAGCCAAAGGGCCTGAGTTCAATCCCTGGTTCCAGAAAATAAAGTAAAATAAGCCAATTTTATTAGCCAACACAAGACAGGGAACACGATCCAGCTGCACCTCATGACTAATGACCCTTTCGCCAAGGTTATAAGTAAAAGAATGCAAAGTTGGCTCAAAACCCAACAAATTTTGCTATCAATAGAATAAAGAGTACAGGAAGAAAAACCACAATTTTCCTCAATAAGGGTAGCAAAGGCCTAACAAGAACTGAATGCCTTTTCAGAACAGGAGCACGAAATAAAAGATAAGCTTCAACTGACACAAAAGGCATCCAGAAGTAATCACCACCTCACACCCAGCAGTGGGAGAGCCTTCGGAAGGCCCACTCCAGTCCTTCGGAGGCAGCATCCAGCTATACACATCAGCGGGCCTGCATTTTAGGGATGAACCACATTTGCTCTGATGTCTACACTCTTCCTTTCTGGGGGGACAAAGGGGGTTGGCACTTGGGATTGAACCCAGAGCCTTCATAATCAACTATACACATATCCCAGTCCTGCTCTTTTATTTTGAAGACAGGATGTTGCAAAGCTGCTAAATTTCTCAGGAAGGGCAGGGCCTTGCAAATTCTCGATCTCCACATCACCTCTTGTCACCTTTAGTCAACTCTTTACTACAGGTTCCACGTATGACAGCTGCCCATGTCTTACTCTTCTCATTGCTGCGACAAAATATCCAACACTCAGAGGAGGAAAGGTTTATTTAGCTCACAGGTTTTAGAGGTTTCAGTCATAATCAGCTGGCTCCAAGGCAGAGCGGCATGGCCTGGGGGAATACATCAAGGTGACAGAAGACAGCAAAAGCAAGGCGGGAGGTTCCTTTCCCACATGTCAAGCAGGCTACCCCTCAGCGGGTGTAGCACCCACACCATGGCCCTCCCTTCCTCTTACGCAGGCTGGAGATGCTTACAGAGGGAGGACCCTGGCCCCCTACTGAGTCACTTAAGCTTCTCACTGCATGAGGCCTTGAGGGGACATCTAGACCAAACCAGGATGTATCTTCATAAATCTTGATCTACGTACACAGTGTAAAGTCGCTGTCTTCCCCGTCTTCACTGAGGTCACAAGGCACGCAGCTCGGACGTGGAATTCCAAATGGGGAGGCGGCCGCCTCCTCCTCTGTCCCTTCTCTACTTTCATGTACAGAGGTCTTGGATGAGAGAAGACTTGAATGGCAAACACTCTTCCTTTGTCCTAAGTGACTCGATGCCTTAAAGCTAGTTAAGTATCTAAACAGGTTGTAGGGGCTGGAGAGATGGCTCAGTGGTCTAAAGCACCTACTTGAAACAAGCTTGGCAAAGCACAGGCACCGCGGTTCGATCCCCCAGCACCACATGCCAGCCAGAGGCGCCCCCTGGTGGTCTGAGCTGGCCAC